AAACCTTTGAAGCTTTGTGGAAGATGGCTTCTCCGCCTCGCACGGCAGCCTCGGCGAAGCGGCCGCTCACGCTGCTTGAAGCCTGCGGCGGCCTGGGCGCGTGGAAGCCATCCCGCCTGAAAGCCTCGTCGGGACCGTCGTCGTCGGTGTCCGGGCCTGGCCCCAAAAAGTTTGGGCGCTGGACTTGCGGGAATGGCCTGCCCTCGTCGCCGTCATCGGCGCTGGCGAATTCTTCTTCCACCACGGCTCCGAGCTGGGTGTGAGGTCTGGTAGCCTCGCTGAGCGGTTCCGTAGACTGGGGGAAATCGTCCAAATAGAAGTGGCTCGAGGTGTAAATGCTGGCCCTGCGGTTCGGCAAGGCCATCTTCAAAGGCTCCCCTTCATTGATGTATGCGAGCACCTCCGCGAAATCGGGGCGCTTCCGAAATCCAAGCTCGCGTCGTTCTTCCATTTACAACCTAGTGCATCGCGCCTCTTGCCAGCTGCTGAGCGGCCCGTCGAACTTGATTTCGTTCCGCGGCGGCCCAGCGCAGTTGCGGTATTCTCCGGTTCACCGCTTCCTGAACACGGCCCACGGCGTCGACGTAGGCGTCGCCTTGCTGCCTAAGCTGCCGATCCCTGAGAAACTCGTTGAACGCCCTCGCGTCCATGAGCTCTTCGTAACGCTTTCGCATGAGGGCATTCAAGTTGTACGCGGGGTACCTCTTCCAGAACTGGTGCAGCATTTGCCGCTCGTTCCGCGGCTCGATTCGCATCATCCTTTACTAGACATCCATGGTATTTCGCGTGAGCAGCTCTTCGAAGCGCTATTTAAACATCCATGGTATTTCGCGTGAGCAGCTCTTCGAAGCGATCGGCTCTCGTGAGCTGCCTCATGTGCCGCAATTGAGCGGGCGAAGGCAATGAAGGCTCCTCTTTCACAGGGGCGGGAACATCAGGATGCTCCTCGGGCTCCGGCTCTGGTTCCGGTTCTGGCTCTGCCGGAGCCGTTGGCGGCGGTTTTGCTGTCGGCTTGTTCTTGCTGCCTGGCGGCCTTCCCCGCTTCTTCGCTGCGGGCTTGGGAGCAGGCTCCACAGGTAGCTGTTCAGGTTCTGCCACTTGGAGCTTTCTTTCGCCCTCCTGCGCTTCTCCGGCAACCTCCTCCATTGGTTCTCCCATCTTTTTCCGAATAGCATTTATCTTTTCTAGTCGTCCGCCCATTAGTTCCATTAATGAATAATCACCCGTCCAAGTAGATGCAGATTCCATTAATGAATAATCACCCGTCCAAGTAGATGCAGAAGCTTATGCTGGTGCCGCGCAGGTTGACGGTGTTCCCATCGACGTCGGTCAATCTGAAGCGCAGGTACCTGAGCGTGATGGGTCCTCGGATGTTGACCAGGTGGTTTTCGTCGGTGCTGCTTTCCATGATGTGCCCGACGCCTCGATTGCAGATGATCTTGGCCACGATGTCGTGCCCGAGAGGCCCCACGGTGTCCGCGGCGTTGGAGAGGCTGCTGCAGCGGACTCGGAATAAGGCATCATCTGCACGAAGGTGAAGATTTGACTGCCTCCGCTCACGAAACTCGGGCCCAGGAGGTGGTTGATGCTCTGCGGCGCGGACGGCGTCGCCCCCTGCGGGTAGTCTGCGGAATTGGGGAAGAGCGCCCGCAGCTCCTGATCGTTCAAAATCGTTCGGTTGCCGTCGTGAGCGACGGTGATCTCGTTGGTGCTTTCCACGTATGTTGCGCTGGCGAAATTGGAGGAAATCCACGCGGCCAGCCTGGCGCCGGTGTACGCGCCCACGGGCAGCTGCGCCCAATTCAGCGTGCCCCTTGATCTTCCCAGTACAAGTAGGTCCCGCGGTCGGTGCTCAGAAAGGTGTCGGCCACCCTGATCTTGAAAACGGAGAGCCTCGCCGAGCCCTGGAGGTGCACGGTTTGCCCGATGTCGAATTCGAAGTCCGCGTCGCTTCCCGCCACTCGCTTCCGCGAATCGACCCAAATGCTGGTCATGAGCTTGAGTTTATTGTATGCCGCGCGCTGCATTCGCTGTCCCCTGAGCACCGCGTCGTTGCTGTTGTCCGAAAAGGAGCGCTGCCGAACCAGCGGATGGCCCGCCGTCGGCTCCGGCAAGCGTTGCATCCACGGCGGGCGGCTAGGATCGTAATTGTGCGGCAGCGCGTTGCTGCTGCAGCAACTCACGTTTTTGCACTCGCTATTGAACAGGGTGCTGCTCGCGAAGAGCTTCCCGAACACCGCCCCCAGCGCCTGTCCCATGGTTTATAGGTGGTTGTTGTTTAATGAATCAGGCTTTATATCTAGCTGGAACACCCGCTCGAATCGTATGTGGAACATTTTCTCGCGTGGGTTGAGCAAGTAGATGTACAGAAAGCTGAAGGGCTCCCTGACGGCCTCCTCGTACATCGCCTCGAGGTCCGCCTTGGGGAGCAGCGCGGTCAGTTCCTCGAGCAGGCTGTCTTTCTCGAGCTGGTTCCGCAGCCGCCAAACGCAGAAGAACTGGCTGTTCACTCGAACGGCGTTGCTGATCAAACGGAGCTTCTGAGTGCTCACGATGGTCGTGATCTGGAAATGCCGGCCTCTGACAAACAGAGTGTCGAGAGCGGCGTCTCCAGTCCTCTTGTGCAGGTGCGGGCTGTCAGCGAAGTCGTCTATGACGATCAAGATCTGGTACAAGCGCTTCATACCCAATTCCTTGCTCTTCTGGGTGATCTTGCGCTGCTGGGCGATGATTTGCCGCAGGGCGGACTCATCCCAGTCTTCAAAATAAACTTTTTCCCGGTCAGTATCGATCTTCATATGCTCGTGAATGTATTTCTTGACCGGTTTCCAGCCGTCATCCACGTTGATGCTAGGGCTGAAGACGTAGATCCTTTCGAAGCAGTCTCTGTACTGCTCCAGGATCAGGCTGATCAAAGCTACAGTCTTGCCTGACTTGCTCGGGCCCAGAAATATCCCAGTGGCCGGCAAGCGCGGCGCCACTGGGTCTTTGGACTGCTTGACGTGGTACTCTGGTGTTGGGAAGACTTTGATCTTCCCCATCGCTTTACTTAGGAGTCCGCGGAGTCATCAGACTCATCGGAGTCCAGCAATGGCCGAGCCAGATTTTCCAAGGCTTGATTAAAGCCAGGCAGGTGCCACAGGCCGCGCATGATGCTCATTGGGGATAAACGTCGCTCAACAACGTTTAACGAGCGATCTTGCACAAGGAAGTCGGCCTCCGCGAATAGCCACCTTATTTTGTCGGTCCAAGCTTGGCAGGTGAGGATCACGCGACGTGTCTCCGAGATTCTATGCCATAAACGAAGCTCATCGCGACACGCTTCGCGAACACCGCACACCTCTTTAGTAGTGCTGCGACTGAGCAGCTGCTGGACATGCGCCTGATAATTCAGTGGGAATGCACGTTCCAGCACTGTGATGTGCTCGCCAGGCCACGCCAGGCAAAATTTGTCGAGAGCCTCTGCCATGCTCGCCACCCAAAAAAGGCTCGGCGTAAAGAGTCGTGCTCTTGTAAGAAACTCTCTGCCTCTTTTCCCTAATGGCTGCGGCGCAACGAAGGCAAGTCATCAAGGAGGCATACGAAGATCCTAGAAATGGCTTCGGAAGCGTTGCGCAAACGCTCCAGGCTGCGAGAAACAGGGTCAGGGATCAGGATATCAGGGGAGATGAAGGCCTACGTCTCAGGATCACTAGGGAAGATGTGTGGGCTTACCTAGATTCCTTGGCTGTCAGGCAGGATCGGCCGCAGAGGGGCAGCAACAGTTTTGTCCCTCCAGAGCCGATGCATCAGCTGCAAGTGGACCTTGCGGACATGACGTCCTTTGCCGCCGGGCCTCACAAGTACATGCTGGTCGCCATCGACACCTTCACCAAGAAGCTCACCGCGGTCCCTATGACAACAAAAACGGCTGAGGCGGCGGCCAGGGCCTGGAACAAGGTGATTCAGGACCTCGGCGTGCCCAGCAACGTCTACTCTGACGACGGCTCTGAGTTCAAGAGCGAATTCAAAAAGCAGCTGGACTACTGGGATGTGGACAAGATAGTGAGCAGAGGTCACGCTCCTGTCGCCGAGAGGGCCATTCGCACCATCAAGGAGCAGCTGGTCCGAAGGCTTTCTGCGGGCGTGGGCAAGCGCAACCAGTGGCCGCAGCTGCTGCCCGACCTCCTAAAGCAGTACAACGACAAGAGGCACTCCACCATCGGCATGGCGCCCAACGAAGCCTACAACGACGCAGGGATGGCCCATCGAGCCCTTCAAAGGATGCGGCGGAACGCAAGAAGAGGCTTCGGCGCAAATCAGACTGTGCAGGTGGGCGACACTGTCAGGGTCAGAGTCAAGCCTCTGGACTCCAGAAATTCCTACAGGGTCACCGAAACGGCTTGGTCGGTGCAGACCTACGAAGTCTCGGAGGTGCAACGCACCAACACAGGTCCGCTCTTCACTCTGCGGGGCTGGTCGGGTGGAAGGTTGGTGGGAAGAGACATTAAAAAGGTCGAGGGCGAAGTGGCCAGGAGGTTCCCTGTGCAGTCTAGAGAGGGCAGGGCAGAGGCAAAGGCTCGCGCCAGAAGTTCAGCTCCTGCTTTTGGTCCAATCGCACCGGCTTAAGGTTTGTTTTTGAATGTACAATAGCTTCGGAGCTATGCAGCTGTGCATCAAAAGTTCCACCATATTCTGTGCGCCACATTATGTACAAGAGCTTCGGAGCTCACAGGTGGGAAGTGCTGAGCCAGCCGCAGAGATTGCCATCGCGGCGCTTCAAGGTCAGGTGAAGCTGCCGAGGCTCCGCAAAATCCATGATGTGCTCGAAGATGTGCTGCTTTCCGGTGTCCACGCAGAACTTCTGGTAGACATCGGCAACACTGGGACAGTTGCGCCAATGCCGCATGGGTCTGTTGTGGTTCTCGGTCTCCTGCCAGACTTTCGGGTTGAAGGACGTCAGGCCTCGCTTGCGCTCTTCCACCAATCTCACCACATGGTCCTTTGAGCGGAGCCTCGTCATGGTCATCTTCTCGGGGGCGCCTCCGATCTGGCTGATCTCCTTGAACGCCTGGTGGTCGAGGCCAGCGCGCCCGGCCTTGTCGATGCCCTTGGCCCGAATCTTGCCGTCGAAGGCCTCCTCCTCCGAGTCGGAATCGACCTTAGAAACCACTGGGCTGTCGTAGAGCAGGGAGTACATCTTCGGCCCCAAGGCGACGATCTCGCTAATCCGCCGCGGGAGGGTCTCGTCAGCCAGGGCTCCCAACTCTCCACGCCTGTCCAAAGCCGCCTTCAAGCAGTCGGGGTCGATGTGGCTCAGCGTGAAAGAGGCCTTCTTGTCGTCTCCCACCACGTCGTAGTAGCCCCAGGCGTCCTTTCGCTCGCAGTTGACTTCGGCCAGCACCGCCAAGGGGTCTCTCTCAGAAGTGATTTTGAGGGCCATGCTGTCGGTGTCGGTCATCACAGGCTCAACCGAGGATCGAATGCCCTCCGGAAAGTCTCGTCCAACAGGCTTCTCGACCCCACCGTCGAAGATCTCGCGAATCTCGAAAAAGTACAGCATCAACTGGAGCTTGGCCTCATCGAGCAGCTTCCAAGCTATCTGTGGCATGGACTTCAAGAGCATCGGTTTGTTTCGGTTGAACTCGGCTATTCCCAAAAAGGCGTCGGACTCGTTGACTGCGGGCAGCTGGACATCGACCGCGCCGCTGGCCATCGCCTGGAAGAAATCTTCAGCGTCGTCAAACACTTTGACCCTCTTGAACTTCTCCTGATTCTGAGTGCACTTGCCGTACAGGCTGTTCATGGTGAGCTTCACGACGTCCGCGGCAATTTTACGCCCGGCGTTCTTGAGGTCCCTCTTGTCGCCGTAGCAGGTCTCCATGAAGCCGCGCATCGTCGGGGCGCAGGAGAAACGGACTGCCTGGTGCACCCTGAAAACTCGTGCTCCGTTTGTCATCAAAAGTTTGAGAAGACGCAGGTCGATGCCTTCTCTGTTGTGGAGGCCAAGGTCCGGAACGAGCTTTTCGTTGGGAGGCAGCTTGCCATCGGGGCACTGCTGTCTGAGGAGCTTTTGGCCGTAGGGGCTGAGGTCCTCGCAGGCCACGGACTTTCGAGAAGGCGGCGCCCAATCCAGGTAGTCGTGGCGTCCCAGAGGGAAGTCGTAGTCCACAACCACCAGGTAGCACTCGTCGAAGGTCTTGCTCATGAAGTCCGTCTCGCGCAGCTTCTTGCTCAGCCGCTCCAAACGCTCGCATTGCTCCACAGGCAGCTCGCACCACTGGCCTCCGTCCTGCGGAAGTGGCATGGTCATGATGCTGGGATACTGCGACCGAATGTCGAAGAGGTGCACCCACGTTGTTGGCTCGTGTGGGTTGTAGGCGTGCTGGATCATCGGATTGTTAGAACAGGCCACAGGCTGGAAGGCGTTGCTCAAGCCGCCTCTGATGTTCGAGCGAACCAATTCGTAGATGTTCTGGTCCGTGATCCTGTAGAAGGGCGTCCGTGGCGTTGTGCAAAATCGGAGCATCGCGTCCCAGGAGGCGCTCGGGAGCGTCACGTAGGCTGCAGGGTCGATCTTGAAATGATTCCAGAAATTGAGGCGGTACTCTTGAATGATGTCCGCCAGGGCCAAGACGTCGGTGGCCAGGTAGCAGTCGTGGAGCTCCCGGAAGTCTTTGAAGCCCAGGCTTTGTGTCAAGCGAGAAATCTTCCGATACTTTCGCTCGCTGCATTTTCCCTTCAGCCTGCTGTCGTAGGCTTCGCGGGGCAAAAGCGCGGGCTCGCTCCAGATCTCCGGACCGTTCATCTTCTCGAAGGGCATGTCCAGTTTGCGAAGCAGCTGCTTCCACCGCAAGGCTCGGA